TAAGCAAAAAGTCATAATAACATTAAAATAATGTCCGATTGCTTGGGAGTCGAAAGATGCGTTTCTTTGGTAAATAAAGTATGATGTTTCATTTTTCACCATTTAGAACTCCCAATTTAGTATATATCTGGGCTATGGTTAGCGCGAAGGCAATTTAGACTAAGTTTTGTCTTTTTAACAATCTAGTAACGCTGGTGCGTGATTACAAGAAATGCATTTATAGGATACGCTGATCGCTTTCGTTTAGGGTGTTTTGATAGCTCATTTGAATATATCGAGGTTACGAATGGATTGCTCGCGAATTATGTGTGTGATTACTTTCATGATCGCATTATTGACTTTGAATATTAATAAATTCGAATACGTATGCACGAGAACATGTCATTTCTCATCAAAAAATTTGAAAAAATCTTCATGGGTGGATATCCTCATGACTGAGGATCCTCTTTTCATTTAATTTGAATATCATAAAGGGAGGTTGATATGTAAATGAAGAGTGTATTATGTGATGATTGATTCATTGCGTCGAGCAATTTCGAATGAGATTCTGCAAGCTTTAAGAATAAAATGATCTCTGTATATATTATACCATTTGTATTTTTTGAATATTAAATAATGTGTTCAAATAATATTCCTCTATCAGAGTAATTATAATGGTTTTCTAGAATCGTTCAAGACCGACTGCATAATTAAACAGGCAGTTTGCCAAGTATGCGGTTTTAACACGGCTTTGCTCTGTAGGCAGAATCTTAAGAATTTCAAGCGCTTACAGTTGTCTAAAAAGTGCTCATTATAAATTGGCAATTTATATTGTTATTCCTCAAAATCAAGACGGTCTTCGACCACAAATTTGGTGATTCACGATTGTCAAATCATGCATTGTCAAATCTTAGATTTGATTCGACGGATATCGTTGCGTTACTGATTCCGTCTTTGATTATACGCGAGTTATAAATTGAAGGTTTTTAGCTTCAGTTATTAAATCTTGCGCAACTGACAGTACAAGTATTTACAAGTAGTCATCCTCAATATTGAATTTTTCAGCCAAATACGAGTCCGCGACAAGGAATGAAATAATGTCAATTGTATATCATTGAATTTCGTGGACGTTTCTTTTATGAAGTTTTTAGTTTTTACATATTTAATTTTAATTTTCTCAATACCTTTCCGTCTCGATTTTTTGCATTTCTTCATTAAATTATTCATGATTTGTTCGAGAGATACTTCTCGCGTTATTTTTGGAATTTCCGTGTAAAGTATGTAAAAAGGGAAAGGATAATCGCTTATTAGTTGTAACCGTGTTTGAATAGTTTTAACTAGTGTCTGAATAGAATGTTTAAACTATTGCATCTACAGTCCCATATTCGAAGTGAATGTATAAATAATTCGTGCAGCTGTATAAATAACATGTAAAAAATAACTATTTTTAAGGATACGCTCCTAAGAAATACATAGCGTATTTGGTCTACGAACCTTATATTAATTGTTCGATTTAGCGAATTTCTGAAAACTAAGAGTTTAACTAAAAAAACTTAAGACTTAGACAGTGGTGGCAATGTGTTCTTTATCTTATTGTTTGTCCTTGGCGAGCGTTCAACAAATTCTCAAGAGCAAATATGCCGTATAGTGATATATGGTCCTTGAAAGAAAGTCCTATGAATCTCACGTGTGCATCAACACTAAAATAAGTTGTTCATTTTCAATCGATAAAACTTTGTATTTCTATTTATAAATTATGTTATTATTGTCTATCAGTGTCTTTCATGTCATTTGATTCAAATAAACAGAAAAGATTGAAGATTCGTTAGAATCGAAAGACGCCATCATTTCGCATCATAAAAATGATATTTTAAAAATGAATCGTTGTAGACAAAAAAAATAATTACATAGTAATTCAATAGACCTTTTAATCTTTAATAGTTACTGAAAGAAACGCATGTGCAACTCAAGCGCAACCCGTCATATTCGCAGGTATTCTTTAGCATGTCATGCTATGAAATATTGTAATTTTTATTATTATCTATTAACATGGAGAACAAACTGTCATTAAGAAATGATAAGATAATGACATAGTAATATCTGACACTTGTCATGTTATGAAAATTATTGGTTTCTTTTTTAAATTAGATATATTCAATTTATAGAATTAATTATAATTGAATATACGTTAAAATAAAAATCGTTGGTTGCAGTGAAGATATTGAGATATATTACTTTCACATAGTCTTTTTAATTTATGCAGAATTTTATTAAGTATTGTATGATCATCTTACATATATATTCCTGTAATTTTCCGTTGCTCACAAATAATATGTTTAATGGTTAAAATTTCCGGGATTAAGTTCTTTCGACGCTTCAGAATGAAAAGAAATAGTGTTATTCTTTTTATTGTTTTCTGCATGAATCGATCACGTCTGTTTTAATAGCATTCACAACATCGAATCTGTGATTCACAAGATCGAAATAAAGATCTAGTAATGAGCCAGTCAAATAAATATTTTTTTGGTTTATTTCGATTATTTAACCTCGATATCATTGATTGTTTCGTCCTTATGGATCAAATGACATTCAGAACCATATTGTAAATGTTAATTAAACTATTTAAATAAATAAGCAGAATATATTCATTGATAGGCATATATGTCCATGAGGGGTAATTTTTACTATAACAACTTGCCTCTCTGTTTCATAGTGAAACATAAACAAGTATTCTGTTCAGTCCATAATTCATCAGAACGTCGAAAAGGAAAATGAACTTTAATCAGAGCTTTCTAACTTTTATAACGTAAGATAATCGATTCTTATTGACGTCATTGAAGATCCTATTCTTGATCTCTCCAAGAATATAAATTTGATCTGAAATAGCTCGGCTTTTAATAAAGGCGAAATTGGGACAAGCGAAATTCATGCATCATCGCATTAAAAAATCAGCTGTCTTGATTGATATTCTAGAAAAAAACGCATTAGCTAAAGAGCAATCAAATAAAAGAAGAAAAAAAAAGATATTAATACAAAGACTTAAAGCGAAAGAAAAGAAAATGGTAAAAGGAAGGGTAAAAATCAATCTATGTAGAAGATTCTACAAGAAAAAAATAAAAATAATGATGAAAAAGGCAACTTGGAATATTATTGCATTATTTGTCGCGAGGCATATTTCGAATCACGATCCAAAAAGAAAAGGAATCAACTGTATACTTTGCAAGAACTGGGCTTATTCCAAATATATAAAAAATATAAATACGATAACAGTCAATCAGGTGATTAGTAAATTACCGTTTTTATATTATAGATAATATTTATGATTATTATATTGTTTTAGTTTTCGTTTAAAGATAATATATTTTTGTTAATCTGAATCTTAATGAATAAACATTATTAATAAAATAGTATTTTATTTCATTAGAAAATGAAATATTTTATTAAAAGATATCTCTTATATCTTGCAATAAAAATTTGCCCCAACGTGATAACAACTTGCTACAAAAAGAGATAAAAATTCCACCAGTCATAAATAAATGACTTTGAAAACCTATTATAAAATATAAACTTAAAATCCTAAAATTTAACAATAATTTATATATATTATAATAAATTTAACTAAATTTAACAATAACCAGTCTCTTCTACAATATAGTAGATAAAAGAAAGAGACGAAGGAATTTACTATAAATATATTTTATAATTAAAGTACATATGTATGAAAATCTTTTAATCTGCATATCGTGAGACATCAACAATTACTTTATAAAACATATATTCCTTTACTATTTAACACATTCCCATCTTCCTGAACAGGCCTTCAATAAAAACAATAAAATATAGCAATTATTTACGAAAAATAATTTAATCCGTTTTAAAAGTGAAATATATTTCGAATACATTTAAGAAATTTTATTTTATTTAACAACTTTTAGATGAATCATTATAATTTTCACAAATTAGTGAATGAACAGAAAATGATCGGATTTGGTCTACACAGAAATGTTCGAACAATGGCTGTATCATATGAATTATTATGTAATTATTATTGTATATCGTTCAATCACTGTCTTTTAAAATTTATATGCGACATAAAAAGTTAGGATAGAAAGGATTATTTTGGCACAGGACACAATGACTTAGAATGATTACAAATATATAACTTCGAGTCAGGAATTGATTTGAATTATTGAATTTTTCAATATGGACTAGTCCAAAGTTTTCCTGATTGCAATCAAAATAAGATAAATTAAAAGGAATAAGATTAAAGCTTAACACATTGCGCACCGATATTTTATTTTAATGTTTTTTAGATATTCATTTTTTAGAGCAAGTGAAGCCAGCATTCAGGTTTTCAGTGACTGATATTTAATCGGCGTGCAATGTGTTAACTTATCGTTAGATTTCAAATTCACGCGAAGGTTCTAGATTTATAACACATTTAGAACAAATAACAAATATAAAGGGATAAACGTAGCTTCATTAAACATAGCTTATTAACAAGAAGTTTTTAATTTAACAAGAAGTTATTAAGAAGTTTTATAACCTGAACAATCAATTGTTCAGGTTTTACTTTATTCATTATTTTCAATTTATTTTTATCGTCAACTGTAATCATTGTTATTTTTGAAGATATGAGCCGTTTATTTTGAAAGTGACCTAACTCCATTTGTCAATTTTTTCCGGTTGCTATAATTACATGTACAACTTTATCTTATTTATCAGTAAAGCATTTCAGGTTGCTTATATTCCGAGCAAATACGATAATTCTTGACACATAAGTTTTCATATTATGGTATTCGTAAAAAGCCTTATTGCTGACTCATGTATTATACTAAATGTATTTATAATTAATGTCACGTCAGATGTAAGCTTTATGTTCACGTTAAACTAATTAGATGTAAGTACGATTTTTTTTATAATGGCTAGTTTTAAATTATTTATAAAGATATAAAATGTATACATACTGTAAAATAGTAAATTCGTATTGAGCACTCGCGAGAAAGAAACAATTCAAGAAATATACTATAATCATATTTTATTATTGTATTTATGTGAAACACATATACATTTTCTTCAATACAATTGAATTAGACATTTCTACGAAATATTAACATTCACTAGGTAAAACGCATTCACCTTCGCTGTTAAATATATATCCGTTTATGCATTCACATCCTTTTCTACATATCTACAATGAAAATAATCAAAGAAATAAGTTAATTACTAAACATAAATTAATTCGTTTTAAAAACATCGGCGGATGAATTAAAAAAAAAAATTTACTTACATCAGAACAGATTTTAGGTGGATTATTATAGTTTTCACAAGTTAGCGGACAGGTACTCGCACAATCGGTACAAATCGCATTTGATCCGCAAGCGGATATGTAGACGATGGCTATATCATACAAATTATTGTATAATTTTCATTGTATATTGTTATTGGTTTATTATTTATGGTTAAATCAATATACTGTAAAACTTACATGAGATGCAAAGAGCTAATATAAAAATAATCGTCGTAACGCGAGACATGTCGATTTAGAACGATTTAGACAATAGAATTCGATATTGTTCATGCGGTACACTTTATATTCGCGAACTGTTTTTGTTTCTGCAAATGACTTATGATGTTTATTTTACAGATAATCTTTATATAACGCGATACTTATAAATGCGGTTTCGATATAACGAGTCTCATAAATTGTACCTAGCATTTACATAACGCACTCTACGGTTTTACATAACGCGGAGTATTCATATACACTCACATAAATATAAACTGTCAGTTTTTTGTCTGACTGTATCCAAGAATAGAAATGTGTTGTACTCATACTTTCTAGAATATTTTTAATGTGCCATAACTTTTTTCATTATTAGACCATCCATCTCCACGCTACTTGCAGGATAGAATTTTTTGTTAATCTTTAGTTATGTTTCTTCTTGTACCGCATTGAGTATAAACATATATTTTCTATGTACATACACGCTGTTGTGCGAATGTTATTAGCGAATATTATGTACTGGGATTTCCCCTTTAGGATTTTTTGTTTGCTTCAACTATTTATAATAATTGCGTTCTTGAACGTAACATTTAAACAGATAATATGTATAGAGTAGATGAGTCAATTAAATCATAAGTGTGTATTTATCTTGAGCAATCACAACTTTATTTCCTGATAAGTATCATACATAATTAATTAGGAATTTTTTTTTGTCAAAAATATATTTCTAATATGGCATATGTTTTATTGATATTAATAAAAAGATAATATCCTTAATAATAGTATATGTATTATAATCCGTTAATATAATGTTATAATAATCCGTAGTAATCTTTAATAATATTAATGATATATTAAAAAGCTTTAGAATTATTTTGAATTTATTCGAATCGTCTTATTTTCCGAAAACAATGCCTACACACGTTCAACTTACTTCAAATATTATGGGGACCGGAAAGTAATGCCGTTTTCTTAAATTTAATTCAAACGAATAAATTCAAACATAACTTTTGGTCAACTTTGATGAAAAAGATCTCGTTTTAAAGATGAAGATTTAAACAAGGAAATGATTTTTTTGAATTTTTGAAAATGTTTTATTTTCTTTGAAAAGAATCTTGTCAAAATATATTTCTTTAAGAACATTTTATGTATAAAAATAAAGCTTCGTATAAAATCAACCGAGTGTGATTGATTGATAGTTTTCATGCAGACTTATGTGCAATTTTTAATTTTATTACATAATATTATTATTTTATAAAACACATTTTAGTGTATGCAAATGAGAGAAATAAATAAAAAAATTTTTTTAACTAAATGAATAAATTATTATCTTTAAAAAATCATTCTCTGTATGTATCCTACTATTTACTAGTATATAATATAAACTTTGCATAACGCGATTTTTATAACGCGATATATTTCTGGATAGTAGCTCCCAATTTATAAAAGGGTTCTTTGTACTTTCTTTGCTACGACCTTTGTAAATCATTCACTTTATATAACAAACAGATTAAGAGATTATAAAATTAAAATATGTACAACCCACTTTAATAAATATAATATAAAATAAGAAATTATATAAAAAAAATGTGAATCAAGGGTCATTAGAGATAGGACATTCTTATGATGAGCAATTAAAATAATTGATTACTTAGGCAAAGGATTATCTAGTGAATAAACTATAAATATTATAATAAACATGTTAACTTCAAGTGCGAGAAAGAAACGATTTAAGAAATATACTATAATTATTTTTTTTTTAACCATATGTACAGGTTTTTCAACACGGTTGAATTAAACTTTTCTACGAAACTTTTTGTGTCCATTTTTCACAATCATAGGACATTAATATTAATTGAGTAAAATTTCTTCTTCTTTGTTGTCTAATATATGTCCATTTATGTATTTACATCATTGTAAATAAACATGATAAAAATAACCAAATAAATAAGTTAATTAAAATAAATAATTTAATTCGTCTCAAATAAGTCAACTTCTAATTCAAAAAAATCTAATTAAGTATGTAGATATATAGATAAGTATGTAGGTATAAGAATGTAGATATATTATGGTAGTTTTTACAAATTATCGGATAACTGCTTGCACACCTGAAAAAAATTTCATTTAATCTACAAAAATTATTAGTTATAATTATCAATAAATAATTATCAATGTTTATCGTTAATCGATATGTATTAGAACTTTCTTGCGACGTAGAAGAAGAACTAAAAGAATCGTAGTAACGTGAAACATGGCAAATTTAGAACGACTCAAAATTTAAAAGTAGGATTGATAAAATGTCATTTATATACTATTTTTTTTATACGCACATAGTTTTTATCTATGTATATTACTTATCATGTTTGTTTTTATGTTCACATTATCTGTGAAGATCTTCTTCATATGATGAAAAGATTAAGAGATTAGAAAATCAAAAGAGGTAATTTTTTTTAGTAAATATAAAATGATTTAGTAAGAATAATAAATTTGAAAAAAGCCATTGGAGGCAGAGCATTGTTATGATATACATTTAAAACAATTTATTACTTAGATAAATGGCATTATCTAAAGCTAAATAAATTATACAAATTGTAATGAATGTTCGTTGGAATTAGAATCGCTGTAATACGATCAATTGAAACTCAATTTCAGCAATCCATCCGAAACAGTTGTTTATACGTAGAATTTATTTCATCTCATTTTTTTTATTTTCGCTTTATTTTTCAATACAATAATTGGTGCATTTCTAAATTTTATTTCATCATTTGACATTAAAAGAATTGATGATAAAAGGATATGTGGCAAATTTTATAAATGAATAAAGGAATTCGAAACTATATTACACTCTGATAACTCCTACTCAAGGCAAAATCACCAAGAACTAAAAAAAGAGCCAGCATTTTGAGTGACAATTTGAAATTAGTTAAGAAAGCTTGTCAGAGAATTAAATGATCTGTTTGAAACGATTGAAACGACCTTATATAAAAACTTTAGGATAATCAATTATTGCTGTCACTTTTTATAATCGAAGAATCCGTACTTTCTTACATTCGTTTATTATTTTAGTATTTATAGTATTTGTTAGTATACTAATAAATGTATTTGAGTTTTACTAAGATAAGTTATACACTTTCAATCGATAAAATTGTATTTCTATATATAAATGAGTTATTATTGTTTGTCGATATCTATCACGGAAATTGACTAAAATAAACATCGAAAAAATTGAAAATTTATTGGAGTCATAAGATGCATCGATTTTGCATCTATTCCAAATTTTCCTTATTACGCAATACTTTTATGAGATATTACAAATGGATCGTTGTAGAAAAAAAATAATTACACGATAAAATAACGTATTTTATTTATAGTAATGTAACAGCTACATGTATAAGATCGAAGAAATGAATAAAATTTTAAGTATATAAAATGTTGTAGGAACGGTAAACGTTTGAGTATAACATTAAGTGATATTTAATATATAGTACTTCTCCTAATTTAATAGAATCTTTTAATTCTCTTTAACAGTTATTAGGAGAAACGCATGCGCCATTACCAGCTCTAAGATATCCTTGCTTACATTGGCACCCTATTATGCATTGCTGAAATAGGATGAAATACTTGATTACATAGACTGTTCCAAAATTATTAAAATCTTTATTTAGAAATTTGGTGTGTACTTGAGTAGATTAGATATGTTATTACTAGTTATATAATGAAAGATTTTAATTAAGGATTTTATTGTCTAAGATGAGTTCATAGGAAACGAGCGATTAGATTATATCATAATCATGTTTAAGTTTAGAACACATTATTCGCGATATTACATGTTGCTCAAGGAAAAGTAAAAACTAAAAGATTTAATAAAGTCTTTCAAAAAATACTTACCAAAGTACAAATATTTGTTTTAACTCCACAAGAAGGCTCACAAGCTGAACCACAGGTATTAAATTCTTCGTTCTCCCCACAATTGGTTGACTGGGATGGGACTATGAAGAAAGATTGTTCTCATTAATTAAATATTAGAAAGATTTTTAAGTGTATCACTTTCACTTGTCTCGTTCTTCACGATTTTTCGACCGAAATACGAATAATAATCTAGATTTCTCAAATCTGTTTGTTATATCGCTCATAATTGTTAAATGAAATAAAAAGAAAAAAAAATAGGAAAATATTATAAGAAATGATAAATCTATTTTTCATTGAAAGATGATTAGATTTCAAAGAGATTTAGTCTTAAGGAACAACTTACAGGCAGAAGCGATCGCCACAAGGACAAGAAGAGCGATAATGACGCGAGACATGATTACTTTCTTTATATTCTATCAAAACAAGACTGATATGCAGTATTCGATCTCCACCAGCTTATATACTCTCGACATCGTTCATCTTTCGTAGATTCCTCTCCACATTCCGATTCACGCCAAGTTTGTTTTTCTTCTTTAATTTGTTCTTTTCCTCTTTTTTTCTCTCTTCTTCTATCGCTCGACCGCTCTCTCTCTCTCTTTTGCGCGCGCGCACACACACATTCATGCGCACACACACACATTCATGCACGCACACACACGCACACACACCCACACATGTATACGCGCATCATGTTTACACATATTCTTCAGCATATCATACAATGACTAAAAGCATACTCCTATATACATACATACTTGTACAATAACCAGTCCTTGAGCCTAATAGATTTCACCGAAATATATATCTACCTGTCAGTTTAGTTTAAGAAATAAATCACTGACTGGTTTTTGATTTTTATCTAAGGAACTGAATCTTTTTTTCTTTTTACATGTCCATCATTACATGTTACATGAATATTAACGTATTTGAAAAATATATAATTCCAAAAAGTCACGCAATATTATTTGCAATATTGTTTATAATATATAGCACTATACTTTTCTTAAATACAACGTAAATTGATTAGTGATACATATAAAAGTTATTACTGATATAAACATATATGTAATTTTATCTTTTAAACGCTAATAAGCATTTAGTAATGTCTTTTTCGTATCTTTATTTATATCGTTCGTTAAATTTCATACGTTGTCTGTGAATTCTATGAACAAATTAAATTTCATTAATATGATAATTACTAATTCGACTTCATTTAATTGATTTGTTATTTTCTAAATGTTTGAAAGAATCAAATTCAAGACTAAATAATATTTCAATATTAAATTTTCGCAAGACGATCAGCGATAAAGAAATTTGAATCTCGTTGCTAGTAAATCGTATACGTCGGATAAGATAAATAGTGTCATTGAATTTTGAAATGGTTATGCTTGTAGATTGCGTTAAGTTCAAATGAGATATAAACATAATAACATGATGATATAATAAATTAGACAAAAATAGTAACGAAATATTGTCATGATAGCAGTTGGATTTTTTAAACATGATTACTTAAATAATCAGGTTTTTATCTGAAAAAGAAAAGACAGTAAATTTTGAAACAATAAAAAGCTTAATAGGATTAACTTTTATTCTCAAAAGAGGATATATTATCCATCAATAATTGAAAAAGAATTGCCAAGAACTGTACCATTTAAAATGTTATTTTATATTTTTTATTTCTTATAAATTTTTACATAAATTTATATTGGAAATTGTAGCTTGATATTTGTAGATTAGTATTATATGTACACTATTTACAAAAATAAATTAATTTATTATAAATTTTCTTATAATAAATAATAAAAGTTCTGATTTAATCACTTGTATTAGCAATTTTTTTTCTTTTGGACACAGCTGACCAACGCGTTCAATTTCATTTATAGCGAACTAATACGTGAAATTATTATTATAAAATTACTATACACAGCTATTCCAGACTTCTCAATCTATGCAGTTAAGCAATTATGTAAATAATAACTACACTATTTTTCCTCGTTTCGCTTATATGTATTGGATACGAAAACTATTATACTATATTTTAACATTAAAATGTTTATACTAAAATGGATGCCTCATATTGAAACTAATTAGACAATTCGTTTGAAATTATAAACAATACTTCTCTATGCTTAAGAGAAATTATCTATACAATTTTGATTAAACCAGTTTGACCATTTCGTTAATTTTTAACAAAATCGTTTATAATCAAAAAATACCATTTTGAAAATATTAAAAGAGTAGTGGGAAATTAAAAAATACAAAAAATAGTTTACATATATTTTAAACTTAAAAGTTTCAAATTTAATTGAAAATAAGATAAAAAATTATTTTAAAATGTTTATAACATGCACAAAATCAGATTTCATCTATCAATTTTTTTATTCAAATCTATCATTGTCTATTTATTTTATATGTTTTATATTATATGCCATTTATATTCATGGCAAATAATTGCTGAGGTATAAATTAGACGACTAATACACATTTGACAACAAAAACAACAACGTAAACTACGAAACTTATGAGAGTTATATTTTTTCCTCTTATCTTTTGTATCACCCGAAATTCTCAAATATTTTATTAATTTACTTCTAAAGTTAATTCCTCATATGCATGAATATTAATTCCTCATGTGCGTTAAAATTTTCCACATTATGTCTACATTATAAATTATTTTATCAATGCTTCCTGGAATAAGTACACGAAAACAAAGTATTCGTCAGCAATATATACGTTCGTTTGTTTGTAGTTAGATAATAATTTTGTTTTTTCTGCGAAGTCATGAATAGTAAATATTATCTTTAGTAAATATTATCATAAATGCGACGAGCGCAATTACATCTTCTTGATACTTCAATTCTTATGAAATATTTAATCATAAATCAAGTATTTCGTTTCATTTAATTTTCACGTTCTCTCCAAAGTGAACATTTACTTAAAATGAAAAATAGAATTTTTATAAGTAATTGTTTAAGTTTTTATTTTTATACATTATCGACAGTAATCAAAATTATTATATAATTTAACATGGGATACACAAAAAAATTTTTTAACATGTTTAGTATATAAAATTTGATATGGGATATTTTCGTCCTTGAAACTTCGCATTTTTTTCTTTCTTTTATTCCAAAGACAGAAAGAAGAAGAGATGAGAAAGAATAAATCTGCCCTAGTGATCCAGTTATTATTAGTCCTTTCGAGCAATCCGAATCCATTTCTAAAAATCTTGACCTCCTCTTTCTATCACTCTAATCACGTTGGCAATTAACAGAGATCGGAATTACGTGAGAAAATTTTTATTCTGAATCACTCTTTTGACGTCACATGGATACTTAGCACAACATGCTATCTTAGAAATTAGCAAGACAAAAAGAGAAAGAGACTGCTTGATTAGATTGAGTTAAAATTCGAAGGCCAAACAAAAGAGTGAACGATCACAGGGAAATCCCGTATTAAAATGCATATACCTATACTCGTTTTATCGGGGAATAACATCTTTTGTATTTTATGCTAATAACATATTTAATAGTAATAGCATCAATATAGATTTATATGTATGCATAAATATAAAAAAAATAACAAATAGAACAAAACAAAGAATATGCATATGTTAAAATACACAAAAAATATAGTTTAGATAAGCAGTAATTATGTCGATTTCTTATCAATATTACATTCTCAATGTCAACAAATTTTGCATCATCACGTATGGTTTCTTGTCAAAAGAGGAAGCTTATCGATTGCTTTACTATATAAATTCATTGCATCTTTGGATCACAATTAGTTGCCAATATACTAGAAGGAAACAAACAGCTGATGGAAAATGCGGTCCATTTTATCAATTTCATTCGTTATTTTGACAATGTCTCTGCTTAGTGAGTAAATTCATACAATACAAGGACGCATGATAGCGAGTATTTTGGAAATTACCGGAATTTTATTAAAATTCTTTTTTTGTACTTATTCATTTGGAAAAGAATTATAAATTAAAAAAAAAATGTAATCTTTCGATAAATGATAATGTGAATTTTGGTCAATATAGTATTGGATCCTAATATAAATAAGTTCGGTTATATTCACTTATTGTTAGAATTAAAACATGTTTATACTTGTAACTGAATTTATCAACCTATTATATAGACAATTTATAATAGATATTAAATATTAAATTTAATTGTTTATAGCTGTAGTAAATGTTACATGTAGTGATATTGTCTGTGATCGACCCAACGAAGTATATGAATGCGGTTCAGCTTGTCAGACGAGCTGCGAATCTCTTGGAGAGCCTTGTCCTATAGTTAATATCGTAAGTATATTAACCGTTCATATTTTATTGACTACTATTTTGCGAGGATTTTGAATTAAACATGAAAATCGATGAAGGATGATATTTATTATTTTTGTCATTCTTTCTTTTTATTTCAGAGATGTAATGATGCCTGTTATTGTATAGATAATTACGCTAGAAACGATGAAGGAAATTGTATACCTATCTCTGAATGTCCTCCTAAGAAGAATTAGTAATTAATAATTATGCAACGTGTTATGTACAACAATTGGAATTATATCTAATATAACAAATGGTTAAATATATTCAAACTAAATAATGGTTATCTATATATCTTATATTTTTTCAAAGAAATAACAATCGTGTAAGCAGCAAAATAATAATTTTACAATTTATATGTGTTGCCAAATCAACGATTACGATCTTTCAAAATGAAATTCACGGAAGAAATAGAACAAAATGTACGTATTCGCATATGCTGTGAACTATTTTCGAGGATTAATAAGAGCTTTCACCGGCTAGCCGATTGCTGACGAAGTCGTCTGCCGACGAAAAGTCAAAGAGGCTTGACCACAGCCTTCAAGGGGTGTTTCAATATTTGGCTCCATAATGTAATCCAGCAAGAAGTCGAAAGTGCTTCGTGGAACATCCTCCAACTTGCCGACCGTTTCCTTTTACCACTTCTCTTCGTTTTTGATTCTCGTAGTTAATAGAGTTTCAAGCATACGAATGCAAAAACCGCGAAAAAGAGAACGCTTCGATGATCTTTTCACCAGGATATATATATATATATATATATATATATATATACTTAGAGAGAAGGACAGAGAGAAAGAGAGAGAGAAAGAGAGAGAGAAAGAGAGAGAGAGAGAGAGAGAGAGAGAGAGAGAGAGAGATAAGTCATTTTAATAACGATAATAAAGAATAAAAATGACAGAAAGACATGATCAAGAGAATTTCAAAGTTGTCATGGGATCACTAGTTTGATTACAACTAGGCTCGAGGATCTAATTATATATTCCATGAGCGCGTACACGCGTATATGCATGACTTCTTGCTCGTAAATGCATACATAATTTGGTGAAGTTTACGAACACGAATATGGTATAGCAGAATGGCCTTGAAAACACGATAGATGAAACGGGCTGCGTACATATGCGCAAACACACGCAAAAGGTCTACAATGCGTTTAGCTCGGCTTTCACATGCTGCTCGAC